AATTATATGCGTGAAATTGACGACTTTTACAGAACAGCGTACGAATACCTTTTTATGTGGAAGGTTAAAAGAAAATTCCTAGTTCGTACGCTAAAAAGCTGCTGAAATACTGTGGTTCTGTTAAAACATTAACATAAGCAAAATTAGTTGCAATTAAATGTGTTACAAGAGAAAACAAATACAACATTATTTACAAGTAAAAATCAATACTAATAGTAAGCAATATGCTAAACTAATTAAGCTAAATTTAAAACTTTAGTAAAAGTACTAACAAATTATTTGAGCAAAAATATATAAAAACTAAGAAGCGGTAAATGGCAGATTAGCCTAATTCGAATCTTATTAAGGCACAGCACATCAGGGAAAATTATTTTTTAATGAATTTTGAATCAAGCTAACTCCATACCGCGTTTCACCGAAACAGACATTTGAAACTGTACGCGAAACATTTTTTTTTAATGAATTAAAAAACCTTGTCAATATCTGCAGTCTCAATTGTCTGTTCCAATTTCCCGATGCGTCCGCTTGAAGAAACACATTAAGGTGTAATAAAGACAATAGATAATGGAATGGTAATGCCGATGTACAAAATAAAATAAATAGAGATTTGCTATTAGTCAAAATATACAAGATTTTAGTGGAAGGAAACAAATGCTAGTGCATCCGTATTTTTCTTGAATGTTACTTTTAGAAATACCCACTTGGAAGAAAGTTGAGACCACCTGTTTGTATCTCAAAGAAAGAGGATTTAAATTAATTGATTAACTACTCTTTAATCAAATCAGTAACGTAAAGAAAATAATGATTTAAAATGCACAGAATGGAAGAAGTTGAATATGCTTCATTACAAAAAATGGGTGGATTTTTGGCTAATCTTTGAAATATGGTAACAGGTAGTTTGGCGACATTTTCATAAGGCGATAAAAGTTACTAGCTAGGACTTTAGCAGTGCACATGGATAAATTCAAGAGTGTGCGCAATGCCATTTTTTTGCAATTCTGGGATGTTTTTTTAAGTGAAAATAGGTCGACGTGTACATGGATGATATCGTGTATGTGCAATTCTTAAAAACGCAGCAAGCAGTTTGCGATTCGGCACTTTCTCCCAATTTCGCACCTAATCTTCGTCATGATTAATTTTTTTTGTTCCATAAAAGCTCTAGTATAAGCGTAATTCAGCTAGCAGATTGTTGGAAAAAATGTTGAGTTAAAAAAAAAAAAAAAAAGAGGCCTTTACATCGTGAAAACAAAATGGCGTCCAAAACAAAACTAGCAGGTTACTGTAGCAGGTTTGGTTGCCAAATTTTCGCCAAAAAATCGTCAAGTTACCATAATCCAAAGATTAACCGGATTTTTTTTAAATATAGTGAACACGCTGAGGAATATTCGGAAATTTTGAAAATATATCAGTATATGTTTTTGTTCCACCTCATAATGCTAATATTGAACGGATATTTTCTCTAATGAATGTACAATGAAGAGACGAGCAGAATTGATTGAACATTTCAACCGTAGTGTCCATTCTTCAAGTATTGATGAATTATGATTTGAACTGCCAAGAATTTCATGAATACATTACCTCCAAACCAGAAACATTAAAGCAAGTTGGGTCAACCAAAAACTATAAACAAGTGACAAATTATTTATAATTTATAATTGACGATTCATAATTTATTTTGTTTTGCATAAACCATTAGAACATGATAATTATAACCATTTATGTACTTTTATATATAAACACATGTGCATATATTTCTGTGATTTAGATTTAATTGTATTGATTCAAATTGTATTATTTTGTGAAAATAAATGAGAATGAGACTGATGCATTTTTTTTTTTTTTTTTTTTTTTTTTTTAGTGAGTGTCCCGGTTTGGTGTTGGTATATATACACTCTTAGACACAAAAAATGATGCACCAAGGAGGAGTTATCCGAATGGGATGAAATCGTAGAAGGATTACATGTACGAAAACAATGAATTACAGTTTGAGAAAAATTGAATGATTTATTGAAGTGACAGAGCTTCACAAAGTGAAAAAGTCAGTAACGTGTTTGTCCACCTCTGGCCCTTATGCAAGCAGTTATTCGGCTTGGCATCGATTGATAGAGGCTGCATATGTCCTCCTGAGGGATACCGTGACAAATTCTGTCCAACTGGCGCATTAGATAGTCACCATCTCGAGCTGTTTGAAGGGCCCTGTCCATAATGCTCCAAACATGCTTAACAGGAGAGAGATCCGGAGAATTTGCTGGCCAAGGTAATGTTCGGTAAGCACTAAGGTAAGTAGTAGAAACGTGCAGTGTGAGGGCGGGCATTATCTTGCTGAAATGTAAGCCCAGGGTGACGTGACACGAAGGGCAGGCAACACGCTGCTTCGTCAGCGTGTTCGGCAACAGGCTGAACTTCGTCGACACACTGCTGTGCTGTAAGGTTGCGACGGATGACAATCAAAGGGGTCCTACTATGAAATGAAATGGCACCCCAGACCATTATTCCTGGTGTCCGCCTGTCTGCCGGAAGACATACTGCTGTCCGGCATCTCTAGACTCGCCTTTACTGATCATTGGGGCTCGAATCAAAGCGGGACTCATCACTGAAGACTATTCTACTCCAGTCAGTGACATTCCAGTGCAAATGAGCCCGATACCATTGCAAACGGGCTTGACATTGTATAGAGGTCAATGGTAGTCGGCACAAGGGAAGCCATGACCTCAGCCCCCTTTCTGTGAGCCATCTATGAATGGTCCTTGCGGTCACTGAAGCACTAGTTTCACATACTATTGATGATAATGATGCATCTGGGACTGTGAGTGCCGCTCCAACGATTGCTAGATCTTCACGTTCTGTCTTATCTCTAGGCCTACCACTTCCTTCTTGACGCTGTGTGCGGCCATGGTTCACTCATTCCTACCAACATCGTCTAATAGTGGCATCGCTCCTGCGCAAATGTCGGGCTATTCGTCAGTAAGACCAACTGGCTTCTTTGAGCCCAATTACATGACCTTTCTCAAATTCTGACATCTGCGCCTATCGTTCGCGCACATATATGCAAGGCATAGTCACTGTCCACCAGAGTACACGGAATGAAATTAGTGAAGAATTTATGAGCTGGAATCGTAATTTCTCCTCTTAAATATCTTGCCAGTTTCGGCAGATCAGATGCGCTGTAGAACTGTGAATATCAGAACCGTTCATTCATTGGCAGCCAAAATGTAAAATTTTGCATTTTCTGTCGAAACCTGTATGCATATCCATTTGTGTCCAATTTGCTTTATACCTTCTCAGTGCATTGTGGTGCGTCTTTTTTTTTTGTCTAAGTGTATGTATATATTAATATATTTATAAGCTTTTATGCCTGGAAGGAACTTTTTTCTTCAAAATCTTAGATAATTTTACATGTGGGTTTTAGTATTACAGTTGATAACAAACAAGATGCTTATTTTTATAATTTTAGATAGGAAATTTATTCTTCCATTCATCTGACTTTTCTATTTTTAACTACATTTTTAATATTTATTAAATAATAATAACATTTTTAATATGCCTGATAGTCTTGAAAATTCCTGATAGTCATATCAGGAATTTTCCAGCATCCAATATTTCCTGACCTTTCAGACAGTTGAACTTTTACTGCAAATAATTATTTCAATATGGAGAATGCTAAATTTTCTATTTACAAAAAGAGATTAAATTTTGCAGTTAATCTTTGGATTATGGTAACTTGTCGATTTTCTGGCGACCAACCCTGCTATAGCAACCTGCTAGTTTTGTTTTGGACGCCATTTTGTATTCACGAAGTAAAGGCTTTTTTTTTTTTTTTTAACTCAATATTTTTTCTAACAATCTGCTAGCCGAATTACGCTTCTACTAGAACTTTTATGGAACAAAAATGCTTAATCATGACGAAGATTAGGTGCGAAATTGGGAGAAAGTGCAGAATCGCAAACTGCTTGCTGCGTTTTTAAGAATTCCACATACACGGTATCCATGTACATGTCGACCTATTTTCACTTAAAAAAACATCCCAGAATTGCACAAAAATGGCATTGCGCAACTCTTGACTTTATCCATGTACACTGCTAAAGTCCTTTATCGCCTTTATCGTAGCTAGTAACCTTTATCAAAGCCTTATCAAAATGTCGCCAAACTACCTGTTACCATATTCCAAAGATTAGCCAATTTTGCTCTTACAGAAAAATATGGCATTAAGTACAGTCACATACTATTCTTTTTATTATGTAACAGTGAGATATTCCCAATTTCTTTACATTACATTCAGTCAAGAGAGAAGAGAAACACAGCATGACAAAACTTAAAATCAGGGAAAACAGCAACCTTGTGTTTGGTGTATATTTTAACTAAAACTCTATTGATTTTGAGGCCAAGCAAGAACAAGTCTCTCTTTGTGAAGAGTGATATCAAAACCCTATCAACTTCGAGAACGATCAGGCAAAGTCCATCTTCATCAAATGCAATTCGCCAGAATCTTTCTCCTGATCAAACAGGACCTGTGTCTGTTTGCCCTTAAAACTGATAGAGTTTTGATTATGGCAAACACAAAGTAGTAGTTTAGCATTTATTCTTAAGGAAAATAGTATGATATGAAAGTTCTCATTATTATAGACATCAAATACCAATCATAACCTACACAATAAGTTTTTTTAACTATAATAAGTCAATTTCATTAAAAAATCACATACGTTAAATCATCATGTGCGTATTTTATCCCAGAAAAATATGATTATTATTGTTAAGCATTACATGGTAAATTATTTCAAAATATACTACACAAATAAATCAAATACTTCAAAATTTTGAAAATTTAAATCTTATATAATTTCAATATTTCCAAATAAAGATTTAAATATAATCAAATAGAAGATAGAATTTCATAAAATTGATTCAAAATTGTTATTATATAGTTATTAAAATGCATGTTACAGAAGCAATGAAACTTTTATAGATTAAAATTTGTACAGAAAAAAAATTAAATAGCTTACCTAGTACATTCATACAGGTGTAATCCAAATACAGTTTCTAATACAATCTGGCAGGACTGTACTGAAGTGCCTCTAAGGAACTTATTAACCACATCTGAAATAGGAACCGCTAGCAAGGAGTTATACTTAAGCGGTTCAATATTGATTGCAAGTACATAGCGAGAATCAACCTGCACCAGGCGGGTTATATGAGGCTGATAACCATAATTGGACAAATGTGAGCCTCTTGGGCTGTTAGATAATGCTGTTCGAATTTCAGGTGACGGGGGTGGACTACACAAATCAACAAGACCATTAGGAGTTGATCTCGTGGCGTAAAGATCCGTCATACCTGGCACAGCAGCACATTCTAAAAGGGACAATGGTTGCAGTGGTGATGACTGTGGAGGTGTAGGATAATGAGGTGGAGGACCAGAGCCAGCTAGAAGCCTTGGACTACCCCCATGAGAATGTAACACTCTGTCATCTCGACACAAAGTTCCATGACTGAAATCATAGTTATCTCTGACAGCACTTACAGAGTTGCTATTACTTCTCGGTATACTTGAGGAGCCAGCTCCATTTAAATTAATACTAGATGAAAGAGATGTTGGACACCACGCATCATGTTCACTCAGTCTCCGTGATAAATTTTCAGGAGCATCTGTTTGTAATACTGCTCGTTCATCCTCTCGTAACCAGTCAGGTTCTAAAATGCGGGCCAGCCAGGGAGGACATGATGCATTTGAAGTGGGTGCAGGTAAATATGGATATAGGGATGGTGATGCTTTTGGCACCATTCCGTGTTCTCCAGGAACAGAATTCACACGAGAACCTCCCAGCCTCACAAGAGGTGGAGGTGGAGGAAATGGTCTAGGCCTCCCCGAGGCAAGCGATGGCAAGCTTCCGTCAGCCTTTCGGCATGGGTCATAGTCGCTTTGTATGTGACCAGTATACTGATTACGATAATTCACAGGATACGGGTAATTACAAGACGATGATGTGGCCAGGAAGTTTTCTAAAGATGCTGGAAATATGCTAGCCTTTTCACTGTTCTGAATGGAGTTTAAAACATTGGCTTGCTCGTGAGGATTCCTGGTTGCATGAGCAGGTTTTAGCATTGGTGTATTCATATCTAAAAATTTGTTCAAACCCAAAAAGGAATTCAACATGCTATCTTTGTCTTGAATTTCATTCATTTTTTCCCTGAGCATTTTAGAGCTATCAACTCCCACAGCTGTTGATTGAACAACAGGTGTTGATTCTCCCCACTTCGGCAAAACATCACTGGAAGATGCAATATGTGACCTATCAGTTTTGGAAGAATATTGCATATTTGGCCACCACTCTTCAAACATAATACCACCAAGAGCATTTTGAAGATCTTCTGTACAACATAACTGTATATCAAGTTTAAATTTCCTTTGATCTAAATTGGCAAGAGAGCACAAAAATCTTAAATAAGCTAGATCCCATTCAGTCACAGTTTCAGTACTTGATACTGGAGGTGATACACCTTCAGGATAAACCATATTTAATGGAACATACTTTTTGGTACCTTTTCTAACAAATGGTACAGGAGCATAATTAATGATAAAGTAACCACAGTGATCACTAAAAACCGGATTTGCTCCTTGGATGTTGAGTTTTGTCTTACAAGTTTCAAGAAATTCATAAAATTTTACAGTGTCTTTAAGACGAACAACAACATCCTTGGAAGTAAACGTTTGATAACCAAACTGAAATTCACAATGAAAACCATTTATTTCATTGAGCAATTTTGCTTCATTTTCAGTAATATAGTAACTTTTTATGTTCGTGCAAGTAAATACTGTCCATGGAAGAATATCTGCATAATTGCTGATTATTTTACATTCAACCATTCGCACTGCAACAAATCTGTCTTCTCCACGCATTATGAAAGGCAAATGTACAGATCCGATAGTAGTCCAACCAAATGCTCCACATATACTGGGATAATCAATGGGAGGAGGATCAGGCTTTACAGAAACTGAAGTATTAGGTGTTTTTGGAGGAATCTGAGTTGAAGACTTAGGAACAGAACCTGATTTTTCTCCTTGGGCTGCACTTGCAACTGTGATAGTAATGTTGCGAGACTGTAACTCAGATAACTGTGGATCATTAACAATAAATTTGTTGATTTCTGTGCAATTTTTTTCTTTACTTGGAACCTCATCCTCCTTTTCTTTTTTTATTTTAATCCCGCTTTCTCCTTGAGTGGAAAGATCAACAGCGGGTGTAGTAAGCGCCATGGTACTTCCATGCTACCTCATGAAGTATGGTAGCTTGTGGAGTTCCTCTGTCTTGTCAAGGATAGTTTCAGATGTGCATCTCGAAGTTCCATTTTATGCTCCTCGTAGGAAGACACTAAAGAGAAAACAAAAATTATATCAATATTTTCAAATAATACATCAAATATCGCATTTCATATTATATTAAAATGTAAAATCAAATATGAAATACAAAGCTTGAATTTGGATTTTAAAAAAATAAATGAATTTAATTAGATCTCACAGGCACTTGTTGTTTTTGGCCAAAAAAAATTTCATTTAAATTAAGAGAACTTATCTATTCTTAAACTGCCAGTTACAAGCAATTAATTTAAATATATACATAGACTCCAACCTTCAGCAAACCTTGTCAGTAGTCAACGTGCGAACGACATTTTTACAACTTTGAAATGTGCGCGTAGCGTAATGTGTAATTAACCATTCTTAATTGTTAAATAATATTAATTGTATCAATTTTTTTACATTTAAAAAATCCTATATAAAACTAATTAAAATTACCTTGAAATTATATGCACTTTAATTAGAAATTTTCTTTAACTCCTCAGCATTCACTAATAAAAAGTACTTCAAATCACTACTAATCATAGAAAAATCAGAAGCATAAATCATACCTTATTCTGGATATGATTAACAGGGAAATAAAATTTAATAACCAAGATGATACATATAAGTATTAAACAAAATATGCAATTTTGAATGCAAAGATTTATATGTAGCTGCTTAGCAAGCTTAAGTTCTTTTTGAGAATGTTTTTTTATAACACATTTCTTCATTGCCTGCATATTTATTTTTTCAATCAAACTGCTTCAAGAGTTTAAGACCTAAATTTGGTCAAAATTCCGTCTGATTTTTTTAAATAGAAAAAATTCTTTCGCAAGCTGCACTTGAATGAGTATTATTAAGGCAGCAAGCATATGAAGGCAATACTTTGTATTTATACACCCATTCATATTTTTTTTTGGCAATTTCCTCCCCATGCTATATCAATACGCAAATCTACAATTTCTTCAAATCATCTACTTGATACATGGAAAATTCAATTTCTACTTGATTAAGACATTTTTCATCAATAATGGATGGAAAAGTATTCATCAAGTAAAGAACAGATGAAAATGAGACTTCAGTTCTCAAGTTGATGTCAGCAACTTCAGCATGTTTTAGAAATGGATCACTCAGTGGAAATTTATCATTTATATATGAACATGCAGTTACAAAAAAGCTCGCACAGAATTGAAAAATGATTTCACTTCACTTTCATTCAACTTGGCATTTTTTAAATATTAGTCTTGTTTCCGCACCAATCACTAATTTTCATTTCTTTTTTTACTATCTTCGAAATGGAATTCGTTAGAGTAACATCTTCATTTCTTTAGAAATTACTGAGGTTTTATGAATCTAACAAATAAATCATTAAAGTTCAAAAGTTCTCTTCTCAATTATTATATAAGGAGCTTGTTGTTGCAAATTAATATTTACTGTATAAACAAGGTAAGTATTTTTCAAAAATAACAAGTAAAATTTGGTGGTCGGTGACTGTAAAATTTTTTTAATGTTTTGCATCTCTTTCCTTCATTCTCACTGTTATCTGGTTTATCTCCAAAAAATTTATCACAGCATCCCACTGTTCCAAATCCTTTTATAGATTCTAAAAGAGAAACCATCTCGTACTGCAATATTTCAAAATTTTATGAGATTTTGCATTCTGTCCCAAAATTGTTGAGCAACTTTGAAGCTATGCTTCCGTTTCGAATTTTCTCCAAGTAAAATATATATCTTTATCAACATTTCAATTTCTGAGCCAATTATTTTTCAGTAGCTTTTTTTGCAGCTATATGCAAGAGGTGGCACGGACAACCTCGGTGATTATACATGGTTGATGCATTTGAAATGATGCTACACCTTTAAACTTTCAATCATATACTAGCATTATCTGAAGAAAATGATAAGCATTTTTCCATCTAAACCTTTGTTTTTAAAGTTTTCATTATACAATTAAAAATACCTTCTCCTGTATATTCGTTCATTCTAAAATAGAATCAATGAAGTAATTATCACTCCCTTTTCTTTACTGTAGTATGTTATAACCAATGGGTACAGTTTGTTATCATTGTTATCATTACTTCCATCAGTACTTAGGAAAATGATGTACTGCCACTGATTTTATAATATCAGCCAGTAATTTCTGCAAGCGTTTTCACAATAGCAGCAGTTTTGTATGACCGCAGCTAAATTTTTTGCTATGCAGAATCCGAAACATTGCTTTGAAAAGCTCTTTGGAATGATCCCGAAACAGAAAGCGGTAGATTATGTTCAATTAAAAAACGACAAATAGCATTCGGCTTTTATAGGATCTGTTTCATCATCTTTTATTAAGAAATTTGTTATTTCTTTATTTTACGGTGCCAAGTTCTATATGCTTTTGAGTAAACACATGCCGTTTACAGTCATCTTTTCGCCATGACAAACTGAGAAGTCTTTGTGCTACCTGCAGTGTACGTGATTCACAGAATTTCGGATGCTTTAATGCATGGAATTCTGAAGAATATGAATCTTTAAACTTCTGCTTTGATAATTTTGGCTTCTTCGTTCGAGGTAGCATTATTAAAAAAAAAACTTTCACTTGAATCACAGTTCACAAGACACACTAAGCTCTCTCCGTAATCTAAACAATGGAGCCGAATGTAGCCTTAAACACGTAGCAGCAAGGAACCTGGGAGACAGATAAAGTAGAGACATAGAATGTCTATGTACAATACAAATTCTTTGGTAGAGATATGTTGTGGGGTAACTATTGACAAACCATTAACGGTTGAAGTTACTGATCTACGACTGGCTATTCTTCAAAAACAGGAACGCACTCAACACGTGATATATGATAACACGAGATTCAGCCAATCATCGGATGAATTAGTTGGTTCCGTTTTGCGTACTGATTCTCCTGCTCTTGTTTCTGTAAAATCCGTAGTTTTTTCCATACTTTTCGTAGCTCGTAGTTTTTCATGAATTTCCGTAGAAACTACGGAGAATCCATAGTAGTTGGTGTCTATGTATATACTAAGAACTTTATACATATCAAGAAACCATCCATTGCAAAAGGCAATTACACAACCTTCATAAAAAATTAAGTAATAAGTATAAAGCATTCATGCAATGACTAATACACAGAATTCCTATAACCTGTACACTCTCAAACCATAGAGTTATGTGAATCAGACAAATTCTGAGTATTATTCAGTCATAACTTTCTGAATTTTGCTTCATTTCCTCCCTTCTTACTTTAAATTTAAATGTTTGCAAACAACTGATCAAATCATATCTTAATAATACTTAATTAAGAAAATAAAACTTCACAATTTTAAATCAAAGCTAGGTTTTAGCCACTCAGAGCAGTACTGCATCTCCTATATTCTAAGCTTAGTGCCCCTAAATTCTGTTGCATAGATCCTGTTCTTTTAATACATGTGTCACCATAAGACCGAAATGCAGTGGAAGGAAAAAAAAGATAAGTGACAGAGAACTGTGTGAGTGTTCTTGAGAAAGTAAATGAATCTTCTGTAAAATGCATTGATACACTTTATAGACAAAAATCTCCCACATAAAAAATTACTTTGAAAGTAATTATGCTCTTAACACACACACACACACACAGAAAAAAATTAATTAATGAAGTTTATAAAAAAACCCCACCAGTACAATTTTCCTAAACTTTACACTACAGAAGGTGCCAAATGTGATGACATTTGTGCACGACTAGTTTGAGCAATGATAACATTTAGTACTAAGAAAAAATACCCTTCAAAAATGCAACAGAATTTAATTAAATAGAAAAATTAAATATAAAATTGCAAAAACATTTTTATGAACTGTTTATAACATTTTGAAAAATTATTTTTATTTGATTATTTTCTGATTCTTGGCAATTTTTATAATCAATTTTGACCTTATTTGGTAATTTTACTTCAGTTTACAAAATTAGGTACTTCTTTGTTCTACTGAGATTAAATCACCAACCAAGATATCTCGCCAAACTCCGGCTGCATGTTCTTATACCTTGCCACGTGATCATACATTAGTACCGGCTGCATATTCTTATACCTTGTCACATAATTATATATATTATAGGGGTGGCCAAAGTGCAGCTCGCAAGCCTGATACAGCTTTCGCAGGCAATTTGTGCGGCTCATGCATATAAAATATATATAAGAAATATCCTAAACTAAAATTTTCAGTGTTGAAAAGGAAGTAATTAATTAGTTTAAACTCTTTACAAAGTTATCAGGGATTTCTTTCTATTTTAAAACCTCCTCCACTACTTCTATGATGATGTAAAAATGAACTTGTGGCTTTTAGAAATTCTAGATGCGGCTCTCGAACATTCCTGAATTCAAACGTGTGGCTCTTACTGACATGAAGTTTGGCCAACCCTGGTATATCAGAAATATGTTGCATTTTTGCTTTCACAGAGTATTCTTATATTATTCATTTCTGATGAGGTTTTTAAATTGGCATTGTTATTTAAAAATATATGCATTGCCCCTTTTTTTGTGAATATGATGTTAATAATCTTTAATTTATCAAGTATGGTAGATGCCATATAATTTTTTTCAAGAAAAATATTTTTTACCTGACAAAGAATATGCAAAAATGGTCACTATATAAAACTTTATTGTCAAAATCAACGGGAGGTGCTATGTTAAAAACTGCAAAAAGAAGAAGGGTCTTCCATGTTAGAAATTGGTTCAGCACTAAATCATCCATCACTGCTATTAGATTTATGTATTCTTGGGCAGAGGAGGTGACGTCCATGAAATGGTGTACCAAACAGCGTAATATGTGTGAAATTGCTGCAGTTGAACAATTTACATGTCATAAAATAATAATAATAATGACGATAAGGATTTTTAAAAATATTCTTAGGAAATGATAGGTAAGTATTATATATATATACTGTGTTTATTTTTACATTCACGCTTCACGAGCTTGGTAAAATAACAGCTGAGACTTTGGTCCAAATCTAAATCACCAAATATGCTTGGGGGCTGCTACAACAAAGAAGTACTGAAAATTCTTTGATAA